TCCCAGTGACTCACCCCGGCGGTGACACACACTCTGCCTGACTCACTGGGCTCCGGGGCCCACACGGACACCCGGTGCTGGGGTGCACCTCGGGTTCGCGCTCTGTACCCCCAGAGGCGCATTTGCGGGGCATCCGAGACCTGTGTGCCTTGGGAGGGGTCTCCTGGGGTGCTGCTCGGCCTTGGGGGGTGTCCGGCCTCTGACCCGCAGGGCGTGGGCCCCGTACCCGCGATCCTGGACTCCGAGCCAGGAACACGGAGCCGCGTGGAAGACAGGCGGCAAAAGGGCTTACGTTCACCCCAGAAGGGCCTGCGAGGGGCCCCCACACCCGGACGGCTCACCGGCCTCCTCGGGCCTGGGGGGCTACGCGTGGGGACTGCGCACCCTCCCCAGCCCGGCTTCCGGCCAGGCCGGAAGGAGCAGGAATTTGGAATGTTTGGAACCAGTATTAAAAATTCTCCGGAGGCTTCCTCGCCCCCGCCCTTCCCCCAGGGATGGGCGGGGCAGAGGGAGGAGACTGGCACGCAGCCGCCCGGAGGGGGTACCCCAAGGCAGGGGACAGGCCCTGGCGTCAGGCCGGAGACGCGATCTCGCGGGTGCGGGTGAAACCTGTGCTGCGGGCAGCCCGGGCGCCCTGCAGCGCTGTCTTCTACTCTTAGCACCCGGCCCATCGCCAGCCCCAAGCACGGGTTTGCAGGAAGGTGGGAGTGAGGCCCATGTCCTGACAGGGGTGCCTGCAGGAAGGCCACCGTGCACCGCTGTGGGGGCCACACTGCGGCCGGCGGAGGAGCTCGAGCCGGCCACTGCCTTCCTGCCTGGGGAAGCAGTTGTGGGGGAGAGGCAGATGGCCTCAGGGACAGGGGCCAGTGACACCTGCCCGGGAACGGGCTGCAGCCTCTGGGCCCAACACCCCTCTAGCCCAGACTTTGGCAGGGAGCCTCCTCCGCAAACCACCAGAGCCTTATCTGGGACTATTTTTTCTTAGAAACAGGAAGTTGGGGTGTGAGCCGCACGTTTCCCAGATCAAGGCCCCGCCAAGGGCAGGGCAGGGTTGGGGTTCGGATCCATGGGATCGCGCCACCCTGCCAGGTTCCTGCAGCCTCCAGTGCCCGCGGGAACCCCAGGCGCCAAGCGGAGAGGAGTACACAGATGGAAGGGCGGGGAGAGTAAGAGAATGGACCCTGCGGGCTGCCCAGGCTCTGATGCCCACCCTGTTCCAGCCCTAGCACTGGGGTCACTTCAATCTCGGAGGGCCCTGAGGTGTGGAATGTCGTCCCTTTCTCCCTCCGCCAGTTCCCATCCCTGCAGCCAGGCGTGTTCTTGCACCTTGAGCAGACACCTGCCCCAGAAGAGGTGCCTCCGTCCTGGGCCCTGAGGGTCTGGGACTCGCATCCCGTCCCTGGGGACCCAGCCCCTTCCTCTTCTCCAGCAGAGCCCCTTGGCCCTGCGACCTGCTTGCCTGGTAGGGTTGGGGTGTCTCCGTTCCTGCCCCAGGTCTGATGCCGTCTCATGCTCCCAGGGGCATCTGACCTGGTGGTCCCACTGCCAGCCACCCTGGGCAGGGGCCCTGTGGGGGGCACCATGGGCACAGCCCTGGACATCTGACCCAGGCCTCCAGGCCCCTCTGCCTGGCGGGCTTAGCCGTGCATCAGGCCCAGCCAAGGTCACCAGCTGGCCAGCACAGGGAGGCTTGGCGTTGGAGGGTGTCCTTCCAGGTGGGCTTCCAATGACTGGGGACCCCACAGCAATGGGGTTTGGAGCCCAGGAGGGCCTGTGGGGTGGCCCTGCCTGGAGTCTGTCCAGCCTGGCATCATCTACGGATCAAGGAGGGGTGGGGGGCAGGGATCAGGGATGGGGAGGGGACCGTGAGAGGCAGAGGTAGGGGATGTGGGGGGACCTGGGTCTGTCTCTGGGGCTGCAGGGGCACCAGTAACTGCCTTCCCCTCTCTGCCTGGGCTTTGCTGACTCAGGCATCTCTGGGCGCAGGCTCGGATGGGGGCTCTATAGAAAGGGCAACCTTGGGCTCCCTGCACAAGGAGCCCTGTCCCTGGAAGTTCCTGGAACAGGCCTCCGTAGCAGCAGGAGTGACCTGGGCGAGAGCTAGGGCCGAGCTTCCTGCCTGTGAGGGCTGCCAGGCAGGGCACAGAGCAGGAAGGCCGACCCCAGCCCGGCCGGATG